AGAGCTGTGCCTGACAGTGCTGACCAGCACCACCTCACACACTCTGCTGCCACACAGCTTTGCCCTTCACATTCCTCCCCTTGGGGCTGCTGACAGATGAATTCCTGCACTGGGCAGCGGAACAAAAGCTTCCCAAGGTGGAGGAGGCACAGGCAGATGTGAACACTTTGTCTGGGAACAGCCTCACTGCTGTTTTAAGGCATCCTAAAGACTTTTAGCCCCAGGGTAGAACAGAAGATCAATCCCTAGTTGGCTGCTTCAAATGGAGTTTAAATCTACTCTCTGAGAGGAATCTAAAGCTGAGACAACACGAGTGAGTTAATCCTTTCAAGCTATTAAAACCCACAATTCAGGTACTCTCTCTTCTCTCCACCAGAACTTCCTAACAATTAAATTTCCAGCACGATGTTCTGGATTCATCCAGCAGCTGAACAAAGTGGCTGCAGGGAACACAAGGGGCTGTAGAATCATCACAGTCATGGAATGGTTTGGCTTGGAAGAGATTCTAAGGATCATCTCATTCCACCTCCTGTCCTAGGCAGGGACACCTTGTGCCTTGGTTGCTCCAAGCCCCATCCAACCTGGCCTGGAACACTTCCCAGGGATGGAGAAGCCACAGCTTCTCTGGGCAACCTGTGCCAGTGCCTCAGCAGTCTCACAGGGAAGAATTCCCTCCCAGTATTCCATCTATCCCTGTCCCTCTATGCTCTGCCCTAAGGACACGGCAACACGTTGTGCTACGTCTGCAACTGCTTTGTGACCAAAACATCATCCATACCTCTGCCAGACACACAAATGATCCTCGGGAATCACTGAATTCCTCCTGGGCTGTGGTGATGCTCAGTCACCTGGTTTAGCATGGGAAAAAAAGAAGGAAAAAAATAAAGCGGGAAATGGTCAGATTTCCACAGGAGGCTGATTTCTCTGTGAAAAATAAGGGCAAAAAAGGTAAAGGTGAGATCCTCACAGCAGGCTGATGTCTCTCTGCAGGTATTGTCCCTCCCTGATCCCCGGGACAGCAGGGAACACGCTGACAGGGCAAACCCCCGTGGGCACCGGAAAACTCTGCACGGACAAAAACTCCTTTTTTCCCC